AGTTTGCTAAAACCCTTACAATGTATATACAGTGGGGATCGAAAGTTTGGGCACCCCATCTAAAAATTTGTATTAATGTGCATAAAGAAGCCAAGGAAAGATGGAAAAATCTCAAAAGGCATCACATTACAGATTAGACATTCTTATAATATGTTAACAAAAGTTAGATTTTATTTCCATCATTTACACTTTCAAAATAACAGAAAACAAAAAAATGGCGTCTGCAAAAGTTTGGGCCCCTGCAGAGTTAATATCTTGTACTGCCCCCTTTGGCAAGTATCACAGCTTGTAAACGCTTTTTGCAGCCAGCCAAGAGTCTTTCAATTCTTGTTTGAGGTATCTTTGCCCATTCTTCCTTACAAAAGTCTTCCAGTTCTCTGAGATTTCTGGGTTTTATTGAATCCATTTTTCCTTCTACTCGTGAGATGTTCCCTGTGCCACTGGCTGCAACACAACCCCAAAGCATGATTGATCCAACCCCCATGCTTAACAGTTGGACAGAGGTTCTTTTCATTAAATTCTGTGCCCCTTCTTCTCCAAACGTACCTTTGCTCATTCCGGCCAAAAAGTTCAATTTTAACCTCATCGGTCCACAGAACTTGTTTCCAAAATGCATCAGGCTTGTCTATATGTTCATTTGCAAAGTTCAAACGATGATTTTTGTGGTGAGGACGTAGAAGAGGTTTTCTTCTGATGACTCTTCCATGAAGACCATATTTGTACAAGTATCTCTTTATAGTGGAATAGTGTACCACAACTCCAGTGTCTGCCAGATCTTTCTGGAGGGATCGTGCAGTCAAACGTGGGTTATGAATTGTTTTTCTCACAATCCTGCGAGCTGTTCTGTCTGATATTTTTTCTTGGTCTTCCAGATGTTGCTTTAACTTCCACTGTTCCTGATGACTGCCATTTCTTAATTACATTCCGAACAGAGGATATTGACATCTGAAAACGCTTTGCTATCTTCTTATAGCCTTCTCCAGCTTTGTGAGCGTCAACTATTTTCAGTTTCAGTTTTCTAGACAACTGCTTAGAAGAACCCATGGTGCTGATTGTTGGGGCAAGGTCAGATGAGTCTGGGCATTTAAAACCTTTGAGATTGACATCACCTGGTCTTCCCAGACGATGATTGAGAACAATCCATGACACTGGCAGGTCTCAGCTTGGCAAAGGGGGCAGTGCATGCTATAAATTCTGCAGGGTGCCCAAACTTTTGCAGACGCCATTTTTTTGTTTTTCTGTTATTTTGAAAGTGTAAATGATGGAAATAAAATCTAACTTTTGTTGACATATTATAAGAATGTCTAATCTGTAATTTGATGCCTTTTGGAGATTTTTCCATCTTTCCTTGGCTTCTTTATGCACATTAATACAAATTTTTAGCTGGGGTGCCCAAACTTTCGATCCCCACTGTAGATCATCCTGAGGAAATTATGTTTTAAAGCAGTATGTATAGTCTCAAACATGTTTAAGAATTATTGTAGGACTAATCATATTGTGACAAATCTTAATGCAACCTGGCACACCAATATAAAACCCCTTATGCAGACATTTTATACATTTAGCAATCATCCCCAGACCCAGTCTTCAGAAGGCTGTACTAAACAAACTGGCTCAGTACAGATATTTGCAGTTGTCAGACATTGTGTTGCACCAAATGTAATCTGAGCTGTACTTAAGCGACTTCCCCAGAACTGGAACAATGGCCCTGGATGCTCACTCATCACCCACTGACCATTTTAACCTAAATATGGATGGTAAATTCTCCACATACAGAGGGTGTGTAATGTTAGAAAATATATACTCATCTTTATAATTAACAAATTAAACGTTGATGTAAAGACTTCTAATAGAATACAGAGAATATGCTCACAAAATAATCTTAGGCGACTAGTTATTTCTCTAGTTAACTCAGAACTAATTAAGCCACCTAGTTCCAGTTTACCATAAGAACAGTTTGTTAAAGTAGAACATTTTATGTTAGTACTTGGACATCTAGTAGATCATCAATTAATGTAATATGGTTTTACCCACTTGTTCAGTATCAATTTTAAGTGTAATTTAGAATTCACTCCAGGAATGGCCAGTTCTGAAGAGTTAATGTCATTGCCTAGTCACAAAATAGTTACAAGAGCACCTTAATCCAAGCATCTACATCAGGCATCACTAAATGACACAACGTGGTCCAGATGCAGACTGAATCACTGTTCCATCCCGACCTGTGGTCACGACATTTAGGAGCAGCTTATTTCCCCCAGCCTCTGCCTCTGTTAATATAACGGCAGAGTGTGGAGCGGAATACGGGATATTTCTGGACCAAATGCAGGAGGGCACAGCACTGAATGGAGCGTGGGAGGCAAAACATTGAACAGAGTGCGAGAGGCACATCACTAAAAACGGAGTGCTTGAGCAGGAGCTGCTGGGGTTAACTTGTTCAGTTAACCCGTAGGTGATTGGTTGCTAGGATGGAGGGGTAGTCCTAGCAGCCAATCACCTGCTGATTACTACAGAAAGTTAAACCTAGCAGCTCCTGCACTTTGTTTTAATGCTGTGCTGTGCCTCTCACACACACTCAGTCCAGAAATGTTCTTCCTCCCACTCTCTGCTCTAAGGTAGGAGAGAGTAGGGGGCAGCAGAGACACTCCGGGTGTGTGTGTGTGTGTATGTGTGTGTGTGTGTGTGGGGGGGGGGGGGGAGGGGGGGGGTATGATGTGAGCAGCACTACTATGGGAGGGGTTGTGATGTGAAACAGGGGCAGTACTTTGGGGTGAGGGAATGAAGGGGCAGTGCTATGGGGATGGGTGTTTGTTGTGAAGAGGGCAGAGCTCACTACTGTTGGGGGGCGGTATGCACTGTGAGAGGGGGACAGTGCCGTGGTGAGACAATAGATGTACAGGGGGGCAGTGTTGTGGGACAGGGTATGTGAAGGGGGCGCAGTTCTGCGGGTGGGGGGGGGGGTGAAAGGGGCAATGTACAGTACTGTGTGGCGGGGGGGGGAGTTGTGAAGAAGCAAAGGACAGTACTGCTGTGGGGCAGGGGGAATATGAAGGGGAGCAGAGGACAGTACTGTGGGGGGATGGAAAGAGGCAGAGGACATTACTGTGGGGAAGGGCAGATTGTGAAGGGGGCAGAAGACAGTACTTGGGGCGGGGGTGATGATTTGAAGGTGGGTTGAGGACTGCTGTGAATAAAGGGGTTGTGTGATATGAAGAGGGTGCAGTACACTATTGTAAAGGGGGAGGGACTGAAGACACTGATGTAGGGGATTGTGCTATAGAAGAAGAGGGATGAAAAAAAAATGTGGTTCAGACCTCTGCCAGAAGAAAATTTTACTGGTTTGACCTCCGTGAATTTTAATTCAATACCCCCAGTTTACTAGGCTCCTTTTCAGATACCCCAGCCTAGAATTACCCGTAGAGCTAAAAAAGAAAAAAAAAAACACCGGGAACAGAATTATGCTGGAAAGTCCCTGAAAGGAGGATATTGAATATATAAAGATTAAATACAACTTGGATTTCTAGAGCAAAGCTGCAAGAGCCTATGACTAGCAACCTCCAACAATTGCAGGATCTTCTGAAATATTTTAGTGGGCACCCCCACACCAATGTTATATTTTATGTAATGTCAATTAAACCACAAGCACTTAGACAATTTATAGAATTAACATGTTTATTTAATAACAGCGTACCTAACTGTAGAGATATCTGTAATTTTTATATTACACAAAGTAATGCTCTAAGAAACAAAGTGACACTATAGGTGGAATACCCCCTTATACCCCCAAATAGAGAGGTTCTATTACCTTAACGTGCCTTTATTTATTTAGGTATAAGAATATTCTTTAAGAAATACAATTGTATTTCGGTATTTAGAAGGTTATACCAATTCCAAATGTTTTTAGCTATTTGTAATTATTTAGATCATTGACACCCAAATACATACACCATTGTAAATAGGCGCATAGTATAGCAATAGGTAGCCAGTACTAGTAAGTATTATATAGTTTTTTAATGCTTGCGCACCCACAGTTTTCAATTAGGCACATTGATTAAATTTGGGTGTAACAAGCACATCGCAGTAAGTTGAGGGTGTAAAAAGGATCCTTGGTATGAGAAATCTACACACACATCTCTGTGTGTCTACACTCAAACTGGGCTCCAAAAACAAGGCTGCCGCCATGCGGACTACAACAAAATGGCACCTGTCGTTCTCTATATAAATCAATGGGCGTCATGCCGTCCAATTAATTCCCCCTGATGACGCCACGTGACCTGGTGGCATAACACGTAGGTGAAGGGGTTTTTATGTCACGACACTTAAAGCAATATACAGCAAGTATTCAGCAACATTGAAAAAACTATACTGTGGATAAAAATTTCAACATTTGAATGCGTTCTTAACTTGTTAAACATGTGAGTGCACCACTTTTTTTAATAAATTAATTTTAAAGAGGATAAGGCACTATATTTATTTATTACATTTCATGGCTATCACACCTATGGAGAGAAATCCCTAAGGAAGCAAGGAGACCCCCTAGTGGGAAGAGGGATATTTCCATCCATCCATTTGGCTCCAGGAAAATCCATAAGGAAGGAAGGGGACCCCCTGCTGGGAAGAAGGAACACTCCATTCATCCATCCATCCCAAGGAAAAGGGATAATCTTACCCATATACCACTAAGTCCAATTAAAGGGACACAAGCTTTTTATGACCTCACTTAACGGTTTGGTCATATACACCAGATGAGAGCACAACCGGTGAAGGTGTATAATACTTTTTATGATTGGCGGACTGCATGGTTATATTGTTTTGTATCACAGAAGTATCAAAGTCACGGACTTAATAAGGACATGTTTGCAGCAATAATATAATTGCAGTGATTTACATTTTTTGATGCTGGACTTTTATTTATTTTACTTTTACTTTTTATTAATTCACAATTTTATTATTGCAATTGGTAGTGGAGTGCGACACTATTTTTGACTGACACTTGTACTCACCACTTCACGTTTTTCAACTTCGAACCATCGTGATATACCAGGCAAACTCTGCACCAACGTCAAAGCTGTTCGTTCTACCCATAGACTCTAAAAGACAAAACATATTTATAATATGTTTTAAGACCAAGAAAAATAGTTTAAAGGGGCGCCAATGTCAATATGCTGAAATATAATGCTCAACCGAAAAATGAATTCTAACAACAGACTACAAATGTTGCCAGTTTGTTTATGATGGGTTTGGTAGTCCCAGTGATACAAATATATACTACTGTCTGAGCTGAGTTTGTTCTGTGTTATCACATGCCCACGCACCTAGCAATGTGATACACTGGCACCCACTAAAACATATGTTAGTACAGTACCATGTGTTTTAAAAAAATGCCAGCACCTTTTTTTGTGTGTTTCATAAGCATAGATCAGCCATTAAACAACAATGCGTGCAGGAATGTGCAAAAAAGTAAGCGCACTCGGACACACCTCCTGGTGTGAACAAGCCCTCAGACTGGTGTGCCCCAAGATTGTGCATAATTCCACAGGGTTCCTTGAATGATAAAAGGTTGAAAAACACTGCCTTACACTTTGCATTTCCCAAATTACTTCCATATACCACAAGCCACCAAAACTGGTATTGGTCTCTATTTAGCCCACTCACCACTTCCCTTTTGGCCACCAAATGCAATGGGCGACCTCACTAGCTATTAGGGAAATGTGAGAGTAAGATGATGCGGTCCTGATAGCAACCATGCCAGCTCTGGCATAGTTTTGCATATTAAAGCAGTGATCTGTAAATGCCTGCAAGCACCTGGATGTGTATCTTTTACTACCTGGAGCTGAATAAAGCAATCCCACAGGTTTGCATTAAATTCCTTTTCCTGTCACAGGAATACTTCATAACACAATGGTGTATTTAGAAAAAAAAAAATCTAAATGATCTCTACAAATGTGATAATGAACTAGCATTCATAGAAAATTAAAATGTGCATAAATGGACAATTATTATGTTTAAATAGTGCAATAAAGATAGTTGAAATATATTACACATCCAATATAAAACAACATACTTATCAAAAGATTAAAATACAGCATTTTATGTTTTGAACTGAAGAACCGGTGTTCTGCAATAATCGATGGCTCTTTCTTTTCCTGTAAAACTCTCCAAATGAAAGGATGTGTATGTTTGAAAATAAAACCTACATTGTCTCATTTGGAGCTGTGTCTTATACTAAATTGTATGCACAGCTCTGTGCAGTGATCCTGTCAAATAGGAACCTATCTTTAGCTCTGAAAAATCTCCAGAGGACAAGAGTCTTTTCAAGGAATTCACATCCCCATTTTCATCCGGATGATAAACATCTACATGTAATTGAAAGCTCTCGCGCTCTCGGTGCTGGGAATATTCAAATGCAAAGTAGTCATTTCTGCTAACACACTATTCGGTTGTGTTAAATAGCAGAAATAGGAAATGTGTAAGGAGGGAAATGTGACCTCCTGTGCACTCTGCACACTGTTCAAAAAACACACTGCCTTTATGGCACCGATTCCATTGCCCACTTCTAATACATCATAGGAAATTTTCAGCCATACCTTGAATTCATTCTCCTTGTCCTTTGTACCCTTGTGAAAAGGTCTATCATAGCGAAACCTCCAGATATGATTCACTTTGTAAAAGCTTTTGATGTTGTCAGGAATACCTTCTCTTTGTAGAACCTCCTGGCTTTCAGGGATTGGTGTGACAGCATAAATCTGTAGATCTAGGCACCAGGATTAAGGTCAACACAGGAAATGCAATCGCTCCAGAAAGATTCCAAAAACACATCTGCTGGAATCACGGACAAAGGTATGCTCAAAGGAATTATTAAGTGACCATGTAATAAGCTTTTCTATGCTTCCCATAAATATACAATGGAATGAAAATATTCAATCCTGATTAATTATATTTTGTCAATTTATACAACATGCTCATCGAGCACAGAAAAGTGTTAAAGCGGAGTTCCGTTCACCCTGTCAAAAACTGTAGCTGCTGACTTTTAAAAAAAAACAGCCACTTACCAGTCCCTCGGTCCAGCGGTGTGTCCCCCGCAGCCCGTTTCACCGGCCATCCTGTATTCCTGGAAGCCAGCATCTTCAGTGTGGGCACCCGGCTGTGACTGCTTGCGGCTTCACTGCCGGGTACCCACTGCGCATGCGTGAGGAGCGCTGCATGAATGGTCCTGTAGTCTTCTGGGACCTGTCACTTGTCCCAAAAGACTACAGGGAGGGAGGGAGGACACCTTCTGTTTCCAATCGTCTAGGCGATTAGACCGGAAGTGGGAGCTGGTACCTGTCAAATTCGGGTACCCGCTCCCCCCAAAGGTGCTAATCCTTAATGGGGAGCAGTCCTTAAAGCGGAACTTCCCCTTTTGGGTGGAGCTCCGCTTTAAGTCCACAGGTTTAAGTTGACCCTATCAGTAAATTTACTAAGTCTGCATGCATACAACCCTAGCATATCACAAAATGCATTAACAGTATATTTGAGCACTATATAATTGACAGTCTAGGATAAGAATGTATCTGTCTGTTTCAGGCAGGAGGAAGCATTTTTTAATTTACCCTTTTCCCAGTGATCACTCACACAGCCTCTATGTTGTATTGTTTAGACAAGTTTCAGAATGAGAGACAGAAGCACATGGCTCATCTGTGCAAGATGTGTACATAGAGCCAAGAATGTAGACGCTACTGCACAAGCTTCATGATTTACATGCCTGTGTCATACAGAACAAGGATTAAAGGCTATGATGCAGATGCTGACTCTGGATGACATCTGAATAAAGATGGTACTGGCCTTCAGAGTAAAAATAAACATGAAGGCATTGCCAGGTGGAGTACCTTGACCTATTTTAGAGGTATTAAATACCTGCATGTATTTCATTTAAACATTACTATGCATGCATGCATATAACATAAAAACATATGTGATGCTACCTTTACTTTAGGCAGCCATGGCTTTGCAAGGCTGAAGTTGCTAACCCTATACACCTGGAAGCAAACACTGGAGGACATAAATGTCCTAGCATAACGGCTCCAGAAGCCAACAAAAAAAATAAATGTGGTGGAGGGCAATAGAGATGTTAAAATAGAATTAAGCAAAGCAAAATTCTTTTTTTTTTTCTTTAGTTTTGGATACAGTGAAGGAGGATTAGAACATTGGGCAGATTTGTATTGCTGTCTGTGACTCTGTTAGAGAGATTCACCCTATTTGCCCTTTTTACCATTCTCATTAAAAGTGAAAGTAAAAGAAAATCTAAAATTTTGGGTTGTCCCCAGAAATATAATAGAGGGGAAATTTTCCAATGGGTGACCTGGGGAGCCCAAAAGGGATTCCCTTCATTTGCAAAGATTTCCTCCTCATTTCCTGTTTTGCTATGGGACAGGAAAAATGAAGGCAAAGCTCCCAATGGGAAAAAAAAAAACCGCTGTAAATGTCAAGGAACTGTCAGAGAACTGTCAGAAATAGCGGAGCTCTCTGACACTTTTTGCTGGACTGGAATTATTCACTGACAGGGGTTTTTGCTGAACATTCCCTACTTACTCTATCTAAAGTTTTACAAAAAAGTTTCCTATCCTATTCATCCTCATCCTCATCCTCATTCTAGCTCAAAAATCCTATCCTCACATAATCCTCATGATCTTCTTCTTCATCCTCAGAAGTCTTCACATCAGAACTGATCCTCAAATACGATAATGGTTCAAATACGTTCATCCTCTTGCCTCATGGCTCTTCTTCACACATGTTGTTTCTTCATGCATTGTATATGTATTCATCCTCTTCTTCATCCACCTTGCCCTCTAGAGGATTTACCCCCTCTTCCTTCTTCTTCACCAGGCCTCTTTTTGCTTCTCGGCGCTCATGCGCAGTTTTTTTATCGGTAAAAAATTCAATTGCCCATAATTGCCGCGAAAATCGGTCGGCAAAACGGCCGATTTTTTTCAACTGCTGCACCGAAATGGCCGAAAATCGCCCACTTACATCCTTTTTTTTTCAAAAATCGGCCGATTTTCGACCCATCTATGAGCATTCTATCTAAAGTTTTACAAAAAAAGTTTGTATTTGCTCAAATATTACCACATCAGTGCGCTGGAAATTTTATTTTTTGCATTATAATTAACCACTTGCCCTCTAGAGGATTTACCCCCCTTCCTTACCAGGCCTCTTTTTGCTACTCGACTAATTCAAATGAAAACGGTTTTTACAATGCTGCACCAGAAAACATCCTTTTTTTTCATTTTTTTTCAGTGGTATTTGATCGGCGCTTTTTATTTTTTGCTATAAAAAAAAGACCGAAAATTTTTAAGAAAAACTTTATTTTTTTACTATCGGCTAAAAAAATCAATAGTAAACTCAAAGTTAGTTATAAATTTAGACCAAAATGTATTCTTCTACATGTTTTTGGTAATAAAATCCCAATAAGTGTATATTGATTGCTTTTTGTGAAAGTTATAGCATCTACAAACTATTGTATAGATACTGCAATTTACAAAAAAAAAAAAATAAAAAAAACAACAAATGACCCCTTTTCAGAAAGTAGACACCCTAAGCTATCTGCTGAGAGGCATATTGAGTCCATTGAAGAATTATTTTTTTTCTACAAGTTTCTGGAAAATGGCAAACTTTTTTTTTTACACAAAGTTGTCATTTAAATGATATATTTCTCGCACAAGCTATGGGTATATGTGGAATTACACCCTCAAATACATTCTGCTACTTCTACCGAGTATGGGGATACCACATGTGTGAGACTTTTTGGGAGCCTAGCCACATACAGGAGCCTGAAATCCAATGACCACTTTGAAAGCCTGAAGGTGCGTAACTTCCCAATTTCACTTCCTCACTACCTATCACAGTTTTGAAGGCCCTGAAATGCCAGGATAGCACCAAACCACCCCAAATTACCCCTTTTTGGAAAATAGACACCCCAAGGAATTTAAAAAAAGAGGCATGGTGAGTATTTTGCAGATCTCATTTATTCTCAGAAGGTTTTGAAATATAAAAAAAGAAAAGAAAAAAATATTGTTTTTTTTTCTTCATTTTCCAAAAACTTGTGGCAACAAACGTGATCTGCAAAATACTCACCATGCTTCTTATCAAATTCCTTGGGGTGCCTACTTTCCAAAAAGTGGTCATTTGGGGGGGTTTGGTGCTATCCTGGCATTTCAGGGCCTCCGAAACTGTGATAGGTAGTCAGGAAGTGTAATGAAGAAATAAAGCCCTTTAAAAGCCTGAAGGTGCTTATTGTATTTTGGGATCCTATACTTGGCTAGACTGCCAAAACGTCTCTTACATGTGGTACCCCCATACTCGGAAGAAGTAGCAGAATGTATTTTGGGGAGTAATTCCACATATACCCATGGCATGTGTGAGCAATAAATCATTTAAGTGACAATATTGTGTAAAAAAAAAAAATATTTTTGTTTTTCATTTTTCAAAAGCTTGTGGTAAAAAAATAAATTCTTCTATTGATTTAACATGCCTCTCAGCAAATAGTTTGGGGTGCCTACTTTCCAAAAAGGGGTCGTTTTGGGGGTTGGGGGCATTTTATGCCCAGCATTAGAAGTTTATGCCACACATCATTCACTCTTCTAACCACCTGAAGACCAAGCCTTTTCTGACACTTTTAGTTCACATGAAAAAAATCTGTATTTTTTGTTGGAAATTAATTTAAACCCCAAACATTATATATATTTTTTAAAGTAAACACCCTAGTGAATAAAATGGTGGGTGCTGCAATTTTTTATGTCACATAGTACTCACGCAGCGACTTTTCAAACGCAATTTTTAAAAAATAAATACACTTTTTTTTTTACTTTTAATGCACAAAAAACACAATATATTGGCCAATTATTTGGTAAAATATAAAATGATTGTATGCTGAGTAAATAGATACCAAACATGACATGCTTTAAAACTGTGCATGCCCCGTGCAATGGCGACAAACTGCATACGTTTTTAATATCCATAGGCAATGTTTTAAAAGCCTTTACAAGCTACCATTTTAGATTTACAGAGGAGGTCTAGAGTTAGAATTACTGCCCTTGATCTGACGTTCATGGCGATACCTCACATGCATGGTGCAACTGCTGTTTCCATACTGGCACAGGGTCAAGGCTCACAAACGCATGTGCGCGCGGGGGGGTGAGAGTAATTTTTTTTTTTTTTAAGTTATTTTGATTTTTTTAATTATTTTTACACTGTCCCTTTATTTATTTATTTATTTTTTCACTTTTTAATGCTATCACAGGAAATGCAAATATCCCCTATAACTTCAATGGGCATTGTCATACATTCTTTTTTCAGAAATCTGGGTCTATTAGACTCTAGATATCTCCTCTGCCATACATTATCTGATCAAACCAGGATCGGTGTGATCAGATGCTTTCCCAATTTACAAATGGCGCTGTTTATATCCTTCGAAACTGAAGTGATGAAATGCTCGTAGCTTCTGATTTCTTAGGCTATAGAGATAATTGGCACCATTCTGGTCTCCAATCAGCTCTATGGTCAGCTGGCAGAAACACCGGCTGCATTCTCAAGTTCCCCCGATGGCACGGGAGTGCCTGAGAAGGCCATGGAAGGCAGCGGGGGGGGGGGGCATTGTCTCCTGCTGCTTGTAAAAGCAATCCTGCAGCTAAATAGCCACTAGGATTGCTTTTACATGAAAGCCGATCGCCAGCTGAATAAAATGACATCAGTATTATGCCTGCAGCTGTAGGCATCATCCTGGTATAACCACTCAAAGTCCAGTCCAGTGATGTACCAGTACGTCCCTGGTCTCTGCCAAAAAAAAAATGTGTGGTATGCCCACCATTAGAATATACCACCCTGCATCCACCCACTTCTAATGGTGGACACACATTAGGTCACACTTTGCCACATGCGCCAGTTCCAAGATTGTACAAATGTCTAAATAGTGGCCGCTTCAATAAAAATTGTCCACGTATAAGTGGTACCCCATATGGAGAAAGGATGACACCAAGTCCCACACTATGTTGCCACTACTCCCCATGTAGTCTGGGCATCTGGGGGGCTCCACGTGACTATCTTTTCCCTCGTAAATCCGAAACTTATAAGTATAGCCTGTTGTCCTCGCACAGGTCTTCTACATCTTGACCCCATATCTGGCACGCTTGCTGGGGAGAAATTGTTTGAATGCAAGGCAGCCAAAAAAATTAATGAGGGTCACATCAACGCAGATTTTTTGCTGGGGTGTATAGACATCTGTAAATTTTTGGTTAAGGTGATTTGCGAGGGACTGAATTTTGTGGAGCGGTCAAATTCAGGGTCACCCCAAGGATGACAGAGTGCATTGTCGCTGAAATGCATAAAACACATTATACTCTCATATCTATGCCTGGCCATGGCAGCAGAGAACACAGGCATATGATGAATCAGGTCTGTGGACCAATACAACTGCAATTAATTTTTATTAGTAATGCCCATGTTGATGGTTAGGCCCCAAAAAAATATAAATTCAAAGACGTAATGGGTTTCCATGCGAATGGTCTGGCAAGGTTTGAATTTTGGTTGGTGGCGATACATTGTTGTGCATATAAAATGCTCTGATCCACAATCAACGCATACAGATATTCAGTGAAAACAGCTCCAAAAAATCAAGGGGAGTAGTTAAATTTGCTATTTCCACCTGAATTCCGGGTTGGGCAGTGAATGGGGAAAGTACAAGTACTGCAGAATTTGTGGGCTGCCAATCGGGATTTGAAAGCACATCCGGAAGGATACTTGGGGCTCTACGGGCCTGTGTGCGAATTCTTGGTGGTTGCGGGACAATACTTGTGCTCGCCACCGCACCAGCTTGTACTGCATTTTATGGGACTCACCACATCGCCAAGCGATACTGCAGTGCTGGTATTATTATTAATATACAGGATTATACAGAGCCAACAGTTTGCTCAGCGCTTTACAATTTAACGGGAGATAATACAGCAACGATACAGTTCAATAAAAGAGAGTTAGGAGGGCCCTGCCCCTTGGAGCTTATAATCTAAGAGGTATGTGAAAGCCCAAGATGTACTAGACCACTGGTGCTCGCCAGTTCACCAAAAGGTAGCATGGCACTGCATATGAGAGTCATCAAAATTTACCGGCAAGTGCTAACAGAGATCAGGCCTGATTCTGCCAACACTGCGGTTTTGTGTGCAATAGATCAAGTGACAGTGACCTACTGGCACTGCACTTGCTGGGGGAGAAGGGGGGGTAAGAGTAGGGGCTAAACGCAGGTGCTGGCAGGTGACGGGGCTGATCCCGCTAACTCTGCATTTTTGGGGACGCTATACTAATGTGAACGCTGGTATAGTGCTGATCTGATCAAACATATTGATCCGTTCAGACACTATACTAGCAATGGAGGTTTATTGTGCATGAGCGTCTTCCTGGCAATCGAGGGGGTAAATGTGATGACTGGTGTACTGACGGGCAATCTGACGCTATCTGGGAGGGGCGTGAAAACCACAGGAGCGCAAATCATGTAAATATATGTGATTTTGTGCACCTGTGCTGCCCTGTAGCAGTATTTCTGCTATAGGGCGATCAGGAAGCGGTTACAGAAGCGGTTTGTGTTATGGTGCTGCATCACTTTAACTGACAATTGTACGGTCATGCAACGCTGCACCAAAATAAAATTTCCGTCCTTTTTTCCCCACAAATTGGGCTTTCTTTTGGTGGTGTTTGATCGCCTGTGCGGTTTTTATTTTTTTGCGCTATAAAGAAAAGGCCAACAATTTTGAGGAAAAAAAACAATATTTTGGACTTTTGGCTATAAAACATGTCCAGTAAAAAAATTTAAAAATCAAATTTCATCATAAATTTCGGCCAAAATGTATTCTGCGACATGTCTTTGCTAAAAAAAAAATCCCAATACATGTAAACTAATTGGTTTACGTGAACATTATAGCGTTTACAAATGACGGTATACACACTGGATTTTTTATTTTTTTATACTAAGAATAGTGGCGATCAGTGACTTATGGCGGCAATCAGCTACTTATGGCGGGGGACTGTGGGACTGCAGCAGACATTCTGACACTGGGGGGAACTGACTTGGGGTCACTGACATCCCCAGTTACACCAATACAGGGATCAGTGCAAAAAAAAAAAAAACACATGACACTGTACTAATGGCACTGGGGAGGAAGGAGTTAACTTCTGGAGACAATGAAAGGGTTAACTATGTGAGGGGAGTGTTTTACTAGGGGGCGGGGGTGAGTACCTTTCTATTACATACTGTCCTGGAAGGCTGTGACCAGAGATCCCGGAAGGCTGTGACCAGAGATCCCGGAACAGTGTGCTGAAAGCTGACAGGGAGGAAAGCTTCATTGAAAACAATGCAGCCTTCCTCTCTGTCTGTGATTGCCGGCAATCGCCGGGCTCCGGAGGATAATCACCAGCTGGGACCCGGTGATTGACACCCACGGCCGCGATCGGTGCTGCGGGTACAGTGGTCACGCACTTCGCGTGCGCCCCCTACCCCGGAAAGCAGGATCATGTTTATATACGTGATCCTGCGCACAGGGGCCGCCTTGTAGCAGTATATGTACTGCGGGCGGTCCCCTAGTGGTTAAATGAATAATATAATATAAACAGAATGTATAAACACAAACCCCCTTTACTGCAGCAATAACAGCCATGCAATTTTTTTTATTTTCCATCTTTATTGAAAAAAAAAGTATGGCTCAGCTATTATCCCTGAATTACACATAGCCTGACACAGATTTTGCAGATATCACTATCAATGTCCAAGGTAGAAGTCATGTTTTTCAGCTGTAGATTTAACAGTGCAAAATAAATACTTAGCAGGAAAGGGTGGCTTGCAATCTCCTTATGCTTCACAGTAGAAAGGATACATTGTGCTTCTGCTTGGAATATCGTTTCATCAGGCTGGTTGGCATGTTGCATTGCAATGGCATGTGGGAATTCTGTTAGCATGCGCTGCTGGAAAGCCTCCAGTCTCTCATAGTCATGGCCTCGACAAACAAATTCTTTGTTCTGGTCATGAGAGAAATTGTTAGTGTTTAAACAGGAATATCAACTACACTGCTTTTGAATGAAAATGGTTATGGACATAGTAATTATTTATACATCATTATTTGCTATTTCATGGACTAAAATTCAGTCCGGTTCACTTTATTTCATCATGCAGACAATGTGTGTGTGTGGTGGGGAGGGGTTGTGGGGAAAGGGGTACTGCTGTATTCAGGTACTGGACATTGTATAGTGGGATGGCAGGTGTTGTGTCTTTTGTCCACTACATGGAAAATGAAGAGCTTAAGGAGCTTCAAGTGGCTTTTGCATTAAAGGAGAAGTTCACCTTTTGGAAAAGAAAAAAAATAAATGTAGATATTTTTTTTAGGAGAAAAACAAATGTGTATGTATTATTTTTTCATAGCAGCCTATAGAGCACTGCACCCACGATCAGTAGATTCAATGTCAAGTTCCTACACACACTCTCTGCCACTCTGTTGCCAGTACTCCACGGTGTGAATGGACTATTATTGTGCTTATCAGTATGCTTGTGGTCCATTGAAACTACAAATCCATCTGCTGTGATGGCAGACATGACCTGTAGTTCATTCATTTGTGGGTGGAGCTGCACACAGCCATACCGTTTTCAAATTAGACAGTAGGTGCAGAGGAGAGGAGCCTCCACCCATTATCACTGGATGGGAGACTCAGGTGGAGGGAAAGCAGGTGAATGGGACCATATTATATCCTAAATACGGGTGTTAACACATAAATAAAATTATATCCTAAATGCGGGTGTTAACCATACTAATGAACCAAAGTGTTTGCAATTAAATATGAGGGTCACTCACTCATAAATTAACTTTTGCCATTGAAAAGGTTCCGATCAATCCAAAATTAAAAGACAACTAAAATCCAAAGTGCTTCTTTATGAAACACAGTGTGGACACTTACATTATATACACACACACATATATATATATATATATATATATATATATATATATATATATATATATATATATATATACACACACACACACACACACACTCTGCACAATATCCAAAAGCCCATGGACACAGCAGTGTAGGGCAACAGGCATGAGTTATAACTGTTGCAAAACTGAAGGACCTAAGTTTGTGTCAAGAGACTTAGATATATCCTTGGTCCAGACCTCTAGCCCATGACAAAAGGGTGAAGAGCAGGGACTAACAGAAAAAGATTTGAAGACGATTTCTAGTCTGATCTTTAAACACTGGAATGTCCTAAGAGATGATCAGGGTTTTGTTGAAACCAGAAAAAACAGATACACCACGCAGTGGGACCATTTATTAACAAAAGCTTCCTCAACAGGGTATTTTTAGGAAATACATTTGATAGGGGATGACAGCTTGTCAGGAGAAGACCAGTCACTGTATAAAACCAGTTGTAATAATGAGTGTACTGGAAGGTTTTCACAGGTTAGGGATTTATAAGCTAGCCTAGACTAAAGGTAAATTCAGAGGATTAAGATGTGATTTGCTATAGTTGTCAACAAGTATGTGTGAATAAGGATAAATATGGTATCCCTAAGCCTAGGAGTTATGTCAGCAGACTGAATCTCCTCAGGCATCCAAAATTAAAAGTTTAGACTCCTCATCAACCGGACGTGCATATGCAAAAACACATCCACCATACCGCTAGTATAGCAATAAACCAAACCAATAAAGGTATTCATGAACCTAGCAGTAGGAGCAGGAGAGATTAGGAGGCCTTCGTTGACTAAGTCAATGTAGGTAGCAGTAAGAAGTATTGACCTCTGAGCCTTAAAAAGAGCCAGCAATGTTTTGACTTACAACGAGGGGTAGGAGAGGTAGAGAAAAAAAAACACAGACACACACACAGGCAATATGTTGTGGGTCCAGGGGCACGAATATGGTGCATTCAAAAATTTAAAATGTGTTGCAGCTATGTTCCTCAAAGTGCTTGGGACATATACATTGTGTCAAAGAACTGCACTCCTAGCTGTTTCAGCACCATTAAGTTCTTGCAACACAGGAGAGATGGTGCACAAATGAAAACAGTAATAACACATGAGGAGGAAACTCAGGAGAAAGAGCACGCACACCAGGCTCCCAGAAAAAAAAAAAAGATAGAGGGCAAGCCCCTACCCTTACCCACAAGGACAGTTTAGACAACATCCTGCGACTCAGTTACAGTCAAGACAATCTTTAACCTACTGGTGGGTATACCCCTATGTATTCAGAGGCAGGCTTCCACTGGTGGGTGTATCATAGCTCTGCACCTGTACAGCACTCTGTTGCCAACAGCTGTAACCTGCCACTTTGAAAGCGCAAACATCAGAGGCCACTGCCTAGGGCCAAATTACAGGCTAGCTCTGCATTGTCCTCATGATGGGATCTAGATACAGCCCCCAAGGCAGTGCCAAGGAGCAGGAGATCGGGAAACCAGCAAAGGAAACTGTCATAACACTGCACTGAACAAAGAAACATGGCTGAAATGTCTAGATAAAAAGGCATAAAAGAAAAAACTGGGAGAGTAGAAAGGGTTATCCTGCCAGTTCCTTTTTTTTTTTTTTTTCAGTGTCCAATTCTTCTACAGGTGGCAGCACAACCTAGAGTCTCAGAATCCCTTCTGTCCTGTGTCCCTTAAGATTAAGTAACTATTTTTCTGACTATAAAAATGGAACCCTAATCCTTGGGAATCTTCCTGTAACCTTTCCCAGCGCTATAGGCTTAGACAAGTCTTCATCTGGGATCCTCTTTTTAGCACGACACCATTCTGTAGACTCACATACTTGACTTCGACGTATGACTTGATTTGGTTACGTAAAAGATTTGATATAGAAAACACTGTTTCTTCATAATCATTCAAACTTTAAATTTTGTGTTTATTGGCTATTTTTCTTAAAAAGTATATAATTTTATTATTTTGAATTATGACTAAACAAGATAAAAAATATTTTGTCACTTACTCTTAAGAAAAATGGGAATTTTTTCCCATAAAATCCAACACGGAAAAATTCTGGCTCCAAACGTTGCTGGTCCATTATTTTATCATACAATGAAGCTTCCATCATCTGGTAAAAAGAAGAATGTTGAGGACTTTCACATAGAATATTACATTTATATACAGTATCTATTCAGGAATACAACTATGAAAATGCATATTTTACATGCTTCCTGATATTAGTTTGCATCAGAACAATCTAACACCTCCAGTTTACACATATGCATGCTTGCCAATATCCAATAGACCTGCATGTACTAGGGTCTACTGTGGTGTGCTCATCTTTGTTCTGAATAGCTATAAGAATTGTCTAAAAGGTCAAACATTTTCACCTTGACATTCCCTATAATGGAAGCAAGTCAAGTTTATATATTGCGGTTGGGTACAACCTAATTATTGCCTAAGCTTGTCAAAGTCGCCATTACAAGGTGACAGGCAATTTATATTTATAGAACATTTTCCCTGAAGAAAATTAAGCTACCAATTTACACTGAATGATTACCCTCTTAAAATTCACATTAGAGGATGGACTGATTGATAAATGCACTGCCCAAGATTCAACTGAGCCCACATGGACCATCTATTCACCCCAAGCACACATTTTCTACAGGGATACCCTAGAATTACACAAATGTCTGGACCAATTACATTCTCACATTATGACAGTATCACAATTCAAATAATAATAATGCAAATCAACCATACCAAAATGCCAGAACTAGTATTATAATTATCAGGCTGAATTGATGTTTTTTGTCTAGAATTAGCATGAGAGAGACTCCTCCCCCTGTTGTACTAGATGGTGCTGGGAAGGTGAAGCTTGGAGTTCATCTAGCAAATCTGTAATGAACAAATAAATCCCCAAAGCCACCCTAAAGAATTCAGTTATTAGGTGTGTTTTCTGAATGCAGGATCATAGGTTGGGCCCCATTCCTTAAGACTCTATGCTATGCCATCCTATGCTATGGGTATACATACACTGAGTGCTTAGCAGCATCCAGCGTGTATACAGCCAGAGCCAGCAACCGTGGCTGCAAATTCAGGCTCAGTCATAGGTACTGATCGTATGTAGCCACTTATGTGAGCAGTATCATGCTATCAGCACCAGCCATTGATTTGCTCAAATAATGGTGTACCCAATTTTGTGGTGATTGCAATAAAGTTGTCATACTATGAGCGGTCTGCTCCCCTGCTATTCGTGTCAGTGGCAGCCCACAGAGACTTACTCAGCTTTTCACACTGGCTTATAGTAGGATTCAGAGTCACATGGAGTTGTCTACCCATGCAATGACCTGCTGCTGTCTCTCTGCTGTTCTCGCTCTAACGTTTCAGCACTGCAGCAGTTAAACATGCACCATGCCAATCTCAGCTTTGCACGACATATCCTTGCTATATAGGTTTATCCGTTTACATACATTTAGGTCCATATATATTTGGACACAGGCACAATTTTAGTTTTATTCAGGTATTTACCAAAACATCTTCAAGCTATAGTTATATAATGGATATGGGCTGACCGTGTAGACTCTCAGGTTTAATTTGAGGGTATGTACATCCAAATTGGAGAAATGGTTTAGGAATTACAGCTCTTAAAAGTAGCCATCCCCCCTTTTTCAAGGGACCAAAAGTAATTGGACAATTGAATCAAAAGCTGTTTCATGGCCAGGTATGGGCTACTCCTACGTTATTTCTTCATCAATTAAGCAGGTAAAAGGTCTGGCGTTGATTCTAAGTGTGGTATTTGCATTTGGAATATATTGCTGTGAACCTACATCATGCGTTCAAAGAAGCTGTCCATGCAAGTGAAACAGGCCATTGTAAGGCTTCAAAAACTAAACAAATCCATCAGAGAGATAGCAGCAACATTAGGAGTGGCCAAATCAACAATTTGGTACATTCTGAGTAAAGAAGAACGCACTGGTGAGCTCAGCAACATAAAAAGGCATGTACATCCATGGAAGACAACAGTGGTGGAAGATTGCAGGATCCTCTCTAAGGTAAAGAAAAACCCATTCACAACATCCAGACAAGTGAAGGACACTCTCCAGGAGGTGGGCGTATCATTGTCAAAGTCTACAATCAAGAAAAGACTTCAGGAGAGAAAATACAGAGGGTTCACCACAAGGAGCAAACCAATCATAAGCCTGAAGAATAGAAAAGCCAGATTAGACTTTGCCAAAAAAAAATCTAAAAAAGCCAGACCAGTTCTGGAAAAGCGTTCTTTAGACGGATGAAACTAAGATTAATCTGTACCAGAATGACGGGAACAAAAAAGTGTGGAGAAGGCTTGGAGCAGCTCATGCTCCAAAACACACAATGTCATCTGTAAAACATGGCGGAGGCAGTGTGATGGCATGGGTATGCATTGCTTCCAGTGGCACTGGGTCATTTGTGTTTATTGATGATGTGACAGAAGACAAAAGCAGCCAAATGAATTCTGCAGTGTTTGTCAGCCAGATTTATCCAAATGCAAAAAGTTGATTGGATAGTGCTTCACAGTACAGATGGACAATGATCCAAAACACACTGCAAAAGCAACCCAGGAGCTTTTGAAGGAAAATAAGTTGAATATTTTGAAATGGCTGAGGCAATCACCTGATCTCAACCCAATTGAGCATGCATTTCACTTGCTAAAGCAAAACTAAATGTAGAAAGACCCACAAACAAAGAACAACTAAAGACATCTGCAGTTAAAGCCTGACAAAGCATCAGAAAGAAGGAAACCCAGTCTTTGGTAATGTCCATGGGTTCCAGACTTCAGGCAGTCATTGCCAGTAAAGGATTCTCAACAAATATTAAAAATGAACATTTTATTTATGATTATATTAATTTGTCCAATTACTTTTGGTCCCTTGAAAAAGGGGGGATGGCTACGCTTAAGAGCTGTAATTCCTAAACCCTTCCTCCAATTTGGATGTACATACCCTCAAATTAAACCTGATAGTGTGCACTTTCAGCCCATATCCATTATATAACTATAGCTTGAATATGTTTTGGTAAATACCTGTAAAAAAACTAAAATTGTGCCTGTGTCCAAATATATATAGTTTAAACTGTATGTGTGCGTGGTTCTTTATGTTGGGACTTGTAAATGTCACCTGCTGCCTGGGTCCTGAGCAGATCAGGCAAGCACAGTCAGAAGACTCTAGTATACACATGGCATTTAAACACAACAGTCCATCTCTACGCCCAAGTGCATCTCCTTTGTGCTGCAGCCAAGAGTGACAGGTGCGACTACAGCTCAGAGGATAGTGTCATGGCAGGAGCACTTTCTAAATCGAACACTGTACACTAAGTGCAGGTGAGCCCCTCTCCCCCTTGGGGCCAGTGTACTTAAAACATAACCAATAATATATTAGAAAATACTGTTGTTACTTTACCCTCATTTTGCTGAGATTCCTGTAGTCATAGTAATTTTCATACTGTTCAGCAAGTTTCCTGCAGAGTATAATTCCGTTCTCCCAGCACTGTGCATAGAAATAAAAAGAAACCAAGTCCATAAAATCTGTAAATCATGTGTGAATGGTAAAGACAATACACGCCATTTTGTATATGCTCTGTATCTCACAAAAGCTACAATTTCTTTGAAGAAATAGACCCTTGAGTGCTGCTCACATATGAGGTTTTCAATATACAAAATATAAGAGTAATGCCTACAGAAATCAACCACAGACTGGTAAACCATCGATTGCTTTCTGCAAAAACAGTCTGATCAGAATTTCATTGAAATCGTAAAACCTGTTATTCTTCAAATGCTAGCTGCTTGGCTGTCATGCCAACCCTCTTCATTCAATACTGGGGGTCACTAATCAAGAAAAAGTATTAACATCCAGACTTTTGACTTTACTATGACTTTCATAGGCAGCAATCAATCAGTAATGAGGAATTCGCAAAAAAAAAAAAAAAAAAAAATGGTACTAGTGTTGTGTATGGTATGAATAGCTAGGGTACATGGCAGGGACCAGAATCTGGGTTGCTGCAAAATGTAGGTGCAGTGCAGTGTATGAACCTACCTGCTGGGTATCTTTTAACAAAATATCCCTGCTAGTACAAATACTTCTATTTTATAATACACATAAGAGCCCAGCGCAAGAATGCTTGCTTAAGCAGGAAATTTACTGCATATGTCTGACACACTGTTAAAAGGACAAAGCAATTTAGGAAAATATTGATGTTGGATGAAAATCTAAAGCTGGCCACACACCTCCTGATCGGCCAGATGTAGGGTCTACAATCTATAACATATTTAACCAGATATGGTAATGGTGAAATCAGATGAGGATGGCAATTATTTGACAGATGTCTTTTATTAGCTATGCAAAATCACGAACATTCACCTTAACCGAGCCCCAAAATTAACATGACCTGACCCACCACTAAAATAACATTGGTTACCCCTTCCTTGGTTTTCTAAAGAAATGGTTATACCTAACATTAATTATTTTTATTTATACAGTGCTGTCAATTTACACAGCGCTTTACATGTATATTGTACATTCACATCAGTCCCTGCCCTCAAGGAGCTTACAATCTAAGGTCCCTAACTCAGATTTATACATACACATAGCAGGGCCAATTTAAACAAGAACAAAACACAAGACATAAGCTGGCTTACTTTGCCTCGGTCAAAATTTTGGATGATGGTCATATGAAGGTACTCTTTTCTTTGCCATTCTGTTTGCATTGGATAGTTTAGAAATTCTCTAAGTGGCCGGTCAGACCATTCCAGTAGCTCATCATACAGTAGAAGGGTGTAGGCAGCCTCTGCAGAGCACAAAAAAGAATTAAATAGTGGACTATGAAAAAGCATACATTAACGATTATAGTTATTTATATAGTACAGACACCTTTAAGAGCAGAAATTGTAGGTTGGCTTCACACCTAAATGGTGTAGTGAAGTGTGGGTTAACACACAGCACCAGACCACAAGTGTGAAAGAGGTCAGAGAAGACTGGTCCTTCAATGGGCTGACAGTCTAACATCTGTATCCAAAGTCACAAGCACATGAACACAGTGTTGCTAATATGAATGGAAGCCTATTAACCCACCAGTATGTTTTTAGGCCATAGAATGAATTTGGAACACCCAAGATAAATCTATACAGACACAACGAGCACAACAAACTCCATGCAGATAGTATGCTTGCTAGGACACAAGCTGCAAAATTACGATCCTGGATAAATATTCAAGTCATATAATCGCTGAGATCTAAACATTAGACATGGGAGCTACATTTCTTTCTTTATTTTCACCTAATGAATTGACAGTAACAAAATCCTTGCCCTTTAGTGACACCACTCCCTGCACTGTATCTTTGGAGAAGCAACAACTGTCATCGTGGGACACGAAGTGTATAGGACTAGAGAGCACCTTCATCCTCTCCTTATCCCCATAACATAGAAAGGAGGTTTTCTGAAGTTCACAGGGAGATCTAGGCAGGGCTAATTATTATTATTATTATACAGTATTTATAAAGCGCCAACAGTTCGCTCAGCGCTGTACATTACAATGGGAGACAATACATGAGACAGTACAATAATAATGCAATATGATACACAAGGGGTTCGAGGGCCCTGCTCCTTGGAGCTTACAATCTAGGAAGGAGGGGGCTAATGACATTCCTCACAGATAAATGTAGCAGCAGAGTATACCTGAAGTTTTCAGATCATTGGATTACTAGCAGGATCAATAGGTATTTTTTGCACTTATGGAACATATTTAACAAGGTGCTTTCAACTTTATACTGAACAGGCCAAAAAAAATCAAGTGAAGGATAATGTTAGGGTTTACATACAGTATATTCTAAAGTTAAGACAAATACATTGACAAATTATTGATGCTTCCATTGCCATCAACGCCTTCTAAAATACAAAGTTGTTTGTTGTCCTGATCCTAGTCACTGGCCATGGATCAAAGTATGCAGATTACAATGTGCAACTTCAATATTACTTTCTATTCTACACACCTGTTCTAAACTCAAAAAGTACTGATGCTAGACAGCCAGCGAACTAGTAATCTTAGAACATGTTTAGTAGTTGCACACCATTTTATTTATTAATATATACATGTATATGTCTTAATTCTTCGTGGCATAGATTGTTGTAAACATTCCTCAGAGATTTTGGTCCATATTGACATGTTAGCATCATGCAGTTGCTGCAGATTTGCCAGCTGTACATCCATGCTGTGAATTTCCCGTTCCAACCCATCCCAAAAGTGCTCTATTGGATTGAGATCTGGTGACTGTGGAGGCCATTGGAGCACAGTGAACTCATTGTCATATTGTCATGTCAAGAAACCAGTTTGAGATGATTTGAGCTTTGTGACATGGTGTATTATCCTGCAGGAAGTAGCGATCAGAAGATGGGTACACTGTAGTCATAAAGGGAAGGACATGGTCATCAACAATACTCAGGTAGGCCATGGCATTTAAACAATACTCAGTTGGTACTAAGGGGCCCAAAAGTGTGCCAAGAAAATATCCCCCACACCATTACATCACCACCACCAGCCTGAACAATTGATACAAGGCAGGATGGATCCATGCTTTCATGTTGTTTACGCCAAATTCTGACCCTACCATCTGAATGTTGCAGCTGAAATCGAGACTCATCAGACCAGGAAACGTTTTTCCAATCTTCTATTGTCCAATTTTGGTGAGCCTGACGTTTGTCCAATCTTCTATTGTCCTGTTTTTAACTGACAGGAGCGGCACATGGTGTGGTTTTCTGCTGTTGTAGCCTATCCGCTTCAAGGTTCAACGTGTTGTTCATTCAGAGATGGTATTCTGCATATCTTGGTTGTATTGAGAGGTTATTTAGAGTTACTGTTGCCTTTCTATCATCTCGAACCAATCTGCCCATTTTCCTCTGACATCAACAGGGCATTTTTGTCCAGTCAAGTGCTGCTCACTAGATATTTTCTCCTTTTCAGACCATTCTCTGTAAATCCTAAAGATGGTTGTGCGTGAAAATTCCAGTAGATCAGCAGTTTTTGAAATGCTCCGACCAGCCCATCTGGTATCAACAACCATGCCATGTTCAAAGTCACTTAAATCCCCTTTCTTCCTTATTCTGATGCTCGGTTTGAACTTCAGCAAGTCATCTTCACCACAACTAAATGCACTGAGTTGCTGCCATGTGATTGGCTGATTAACAACTTGTGTTACCAATCAATTGAACAGGTGCAGTTAATAAAGTGGCTGGTAAGTGTGTATACATACATACATATACACACACACTATGTTGCCAAGAGTATTGGGACGCATGCCTTTACATGCACATGAACTTTAATGGCAGCCCAGTCTTAGTCCATAGGCTTTAATATTGAATTGGCCCACCCTTTGCAGCTATAACAGATTCAACTATTCTGGGAAAGCTGTCCACAAGGTTTAGGAGTGTGTCTATGGGAATGTTTGACCATTCTTCCAGAAGCACATTTGTGAGGTCAGGCACTGATGTCGGAGGAGGTGGTCTGGCTCACAGTCTCCACTCTAATTCATCCCGCAGGTGTTCCAACAGGTTGAGGTCAGTTCCTCCACCCCAAACTCACTCATCTATGTCTTTATGGATCTTGCCTTGTGCACTGGTGCACAGTCATGTTGGAACAAGAAGGGGACATCACCAAACTGTTCCCACAAAGTTGGGATCATGAAATTGTCCAAAATGTCTTGGCATGGTGACGCCTTAAGAGTTCCTTTCACTGGAACTAAGGGGCCAAACCCAACCCCTGAAAAACAGCTCCACACCATAATCCCCCCTCCACCAAACTTTACAATTGGCACAATGTAGTCAGGGAAGTACTGTTCTGGCAACCGCCAAACCCAGACACATCTATCGGATTGTCAGTGAAGCGCAATTCATCACTCCAGGGAACACCTCTCTACTGCTCTAGAGTCCAGTGGCAGCATGCTTTACACAACTGCATCCAACGCTTTGCATTGCACTTGGTGATGTAAGGCTTGGATGCAGCTACTCAGCCATGGAAACCCATTCCATGAAGCTCTCTATGCACTGTTGTGCTATCTGACACACAAAAGTTTGGAGGTCTTAAGCTATTTACTGTGCTGACAGTTGTCAACTTCTGCACACTGTGCGCTTCAGCATGCGCTGACCCCGCTCTGTTATTTTATGTAGCCTACCACTTCATGGCTGAGTTGCTGTTGTTCCCAGTTGCTTCTACTTTGTTATAATACCACTTAGGGCTCGTTCACACTAGGCTGTTTTGCCAACGCTTGCCAAACGCCCCTATAGCGTTTGGCAAGTGTTGGTCCGGTGTTTGCGGAGCGTTTTTAACGCTCGGCAAACGCTCCGCAAACGCCGCATGCGCGGTTTAGCGGCGGTTGCTAGGCGTTTGCCGAGCGTTAATAACGCCTCACAAACGCCTATAATGCATTTGAGTGGTGTTACCGCCCCGCAAACCGCACCGCAACCGCACCAAAACGCCGGCCGGGCGTTTGCGGAGCGGCACCATAGATGAGAATAGGAGGCTTCAAAGCCTCCTGACTCGACCAGAGGCGTCCGTTTTGCCGCGACGCAACGCGACGCAAAACGCTCCTGTTAGAACAGCACCATGTGCTGTAATGTGCAGAGTTGGCAGAGGCGTTTGGGAAGCGGTAAAAACGCTTCCCAAACGCCTCTCTGCCGCCTGCACACAAGGCTAGTGTGAACGTAGCCTAACAGTTGATCGTGGAATATTTACTAGTAAAGAAATTTCACAGATGGACTTATTGCACAGCTGGTAACCTATCACAGTACCACGCTTGAATTCACTGAGCTTCTGAGAGCGATCCATTCTTTCACAAATGTTTGTAGAACAGTCTGCATACCTAGGTGCTTGATTTTATACACCTGTGGCCATGGAGGTGATTGCAACTCCGGAATCCAATGATTTGGAGGGGTGTCCCAATACTTTTGGCAATATAGTGTATATTTATTTATTTTCCTTACTACGGGTTTCTTCTACTAGCATAGTTCTATTTAACTGATTAGCTAGAACACACTCATGTATTTGTCCTCTGAGACTAATTTTGTCTGCTACTAAGGGACTGACTAATCTGACTCTGGGACTAAGTCTGGCTCCTGGCAATCAGTGTACTTTACTTTAACAGAGCCTGGCTGGCCAATAAGTACTTTTTTCCCTACAGTAACAGGTATATTAAGGTGAACATTAAGTTAGGGATGGCAAGCCCTTAGTAATAAAGTAAAATCAACTTCAGAAGGACATGGAACATTTTTTTTTAAGGGTTGGGAACCTCATATGTACTGAATAGCATTTGTTAAATTGTAGACTATTTTTGGCAGTTGTATTCACATCTCATACATCAGATAAGTATAGTTTAACTTCTCACTGTTCACTGTTTTGGCAGTGAATGCTGCAAGTCATTCAAAGGACAAAAAAAAAAAAATCTTACCTATATTATGTAATACATAGGTCCTTAAAATCATGAAGAGGTATCAGGTGCATGTTTACCTGTATAATTCTGTGCTTTCATGTGCAGGTCATACAGTTTGTGAATATACCGTATATACATTTCTTCTTTGTTCAACTCTGTTTTATAAAAATTCTGTAAAGAAACAGGTTTCATTTAGTTATATTTCTAAATAAACCATATCTTCCTACAGTATTGCAGATATCAATTTAATAAGGGGGTACTTGGTTTTTTTTATTTTTTTAAATAATATCTGGCAAAATGTTTCCGACATTAGGTAAAAAAGGATGAGCAGCTTCATGCGATCATTTTCTGACAGAGATAGGCAGCGTGTTAACATAGTACATCTTACCAGTGAGAAACTCTGTGCTACAGAACTGCAATTTAGACATTTTTGACACTTAACTACCGAAATACATTTTACAATGACAGGTTGGTGGATGTGGTATTCAGTAGAGCCAGTTTAAAACATAGCACTTTTACCTAATTGTGCAAGTGTCCCAGGACACACAAAGCCTGTGATTGCACTATTAAAATGCATAGAGACAATCAGAGTGGCTCTGTGCCTTGTGGTTGCTAATCACAACGACAACAAAGTTAAACAGTACTACTGTTTACATTTGAGATCCTTCCTCTTTCTCTCACAGGAGGAACAAGGTCATGAGGTATATAGACCCCTATGCATTTTATGGCGTGGAATTGTCATTTGAAAAGGGAAAGATCACTGGAGAGAGAGTTAGGCCTGAGATATGAGTGATACATTAAGGGCCTCTATCTACTCATAATTAGGTTTCTAAGAGAGCCAAACCTGTTGAATACTTTCAGAAGTATGGGAATGGATACAACAGAGTTACTTTTGCAATGCAAAACATGTTTAATACCAGACATTTCTGGATTGTTACTGTCTGGTTATCCATAAGCCACCTGGTCACTATTGGAGATCACCTTGGAATACCAATAGAGCAGAATTAAACAGCAGGGTGTGTATAACAGATGATTGCAAATAAGGAATCTTCACCTGGGAGGAGATTCCTGCATGCCCCCTGGCGGTGGGGTATAGATATAAGAGAGCATCGCCTCAAACCCCCTGGTGAGGTGGAGATGAGAATTTCTGATCAGCTGTTAACTGTCAGATCAAAGAGCAAGCTATGAACCAAAGGTTGACCTGGGTAAGAAAATTTGCCCGCATTGATACAACCATCTGCTGGAGGATATTGAAGACAGTAACATTATCCCTGATATTTACAGATTTTCCTGATTGATCAGATAACTATATAGGGGGTGAGTGGGGGTCTTGATAACGGTGGTGCTTGTGTGCATTATAAAATGCCAAGTCAGGCCATTTCCTGTCCCGCTGACTTCAGCCCAGCTAAGATACCAATTTTGAAAATGGACTTATGTAACTTATCATCTCCATTTAATTCTTATCTGTTATATTACTTTAGATCAGCCTTTCTCAACCATTTCAACACAGAAGAACCCTTGAAATAACTTTCCAGTCTCAAGGAAACCATGCTGAAAATTACTATATCTAGTCACGATACATTAGTGTGATGGTCAGTGGGAAGAATGCTCCTTACATTCATGGTCATTGAGAGGAATTACCCCCCCAGATAGCTAAAAAGTTCAATTGTTTAAGTGGGAACCTATCTGAGAGGCAGAAAATGCCCATTGCTCAAGGAACCCCTAGGAACCTCTGAAGGAACTCTCAGGATTCCACGGAACCCTGGCTGAACAATCCAGCTTTTTATGTATTAGTATTTTACTTTCTTTGGAAATAAATAAGAACTTTGCTTCTTTGAGCATTGTCTATATAAATATAGCTATTATTATTCATAGCATCACTAATAATATAATCAGAGCTTTAATAGCACCTTATAGAAACAGACAAGATATATTTCTTTTATCTAGGGAGGAAAAACACCACCTAGTTATTTCAGTTACATACAAAAGAAGATCATCTGCACAAGACAGAATCTGTTATAGCAATTGCCTTATTGAAGATTTTCAGGTTTAGGCTCTCTCACATAGCACATGAGATGTACTCGCATATTACAGTCAGATGGAACCACAGATCTACCAGCAAACCACTCCCAATAACAAAGTTTTATTTTTTTATCTTCAAATTCAACATCGTACTGCATCTTAGGACTATAACAAAGGTGAGGAATACAGTGCCGTAGCACTTAACCACTTCCAGACCGGACACTTTTACCCCCTTCCTGACCAGGGCAATTTTCAGCTTTTAGTGCTATCACACTTTGAATGACAATTGCGCGGTCATGAAACACTGTACCCAAATGAATTTTTTATCATTTTTTTCAGATAGATAAAGCTTTATTTTGGTGGTATTTATTCACCACTGGGATTTGTATTTTTTTTGCTATGTAAATGAAATGTCCAAAAATTTTTTAAAAAAGTGTTTTTTTTATAAAATTTTGCAAATAAATAATATTTCATCATAAATCTTAGCCAAAATGTATTCCGTTATCTTTTTAGTAAAAAAAAAAAAATCCAAATTAGTTTATAAGCAAAAATTATAATTTTTAAACATTTTTTTTTACATTTTTATTTTTTTTTTTATATTATTATTTTTTTTTTTTTTTATTTTTTTTTTTACATACTGTCACCCTAGCAGTACAGTGTCACCATGGTGACACTGTACTACTTGTGAGGGGTGATAAAGAATTTTTTTTTTTTTTTTTTTTTTTTACACTGATTGCTTTTACACCCATATAGGATGTAAAAGCAATCATTTCTCTTTCTCTCTGTGTGCATTTCCTGCACTCATTGAGAAATACAGAGTGAGCTGTGATTGGTCACAGCTTGTCACATGGTACAAGGCTTTTGTGAATAGCCTTGTAACATGTGACCTCTGTGATCATTCACAGATTTCACACATAGTAAGCAATGATGTCACAAGTGACATCTTGCTTACTACTTTGCATGTGATCACTGATTGGCCAATCAGTGATCACATGATCTGGACCTCGTACAGAGGTCCCGTCCGACATCGGTGTTTCACTGTGTCCGGAGGACACAGCGGGCACCGGATCGCCGTGCTGCGCGCTCCCAGGGAGCGCGCACAAGCAGGGTGCGGGGAGGCCGTTTATAGACGGCCACCCGACCCTGCAGTGCCACTGTCCGGCCGTTTATATACAACGGCCGGTCGGGGGAAGTGGTTAAGGAAAAGCATCTTTGCTCTCCTAACATTCTGTACTAGATGCACATGTTTGCTAGAGAACTGCTGTTGGAAATATTTTGCTTTATTTTAATGGGACAAACAACGGCAATACAGTGTGACAAAGTTTACTACTTTATTTAAGACATGAAGCAGATATGGCACAAATTCAGCTATAAAAGTATACACATTAAAATAATTGTTCATTTTATGAACAAATGGGAAATGACAAAAGAAAGATGATAAAAATGGCCAGTTTTGTAATTACTGAAAAGTGTTCTTTAATAATAACATGCTGACTTAAGCAGTTAAAAAGAATCATAAGATTTCATTGCAACTGCTTCTTGACAGGTAACTATAACAAGCCTCAATCAGCTGTCAAATCCTACCATTGCCACCACAGCTGCTGCAAGTGCATCTTATGATTCTAGACAAGTTCACATCTTAACTTTTCAGCAGATTTGGAAATGTAGCAACATACTCTGCATATTAAGGACCTTTAGCTTTCAATTTTTTACTCAAGTAATTACATGGGCTGCAATGACAATCTAAACAGGCTTGAGCTATTCCCCTACCTGCAAGAAACACTCATTTTGCATCATTACGGCCTGAATAGATTTGTACTGCAGCCATTGTGTTTGTTTTAATGAGGAAATAAAAAAGCACGTTAAGAACTAAATGAAAAACATTTTCATTAAGACATCATTGCTGGCAAACTATTGACCAATTTAAAGTATGTTTCCTACCAATAGACTAACAGTGCATCCAATCTTCTTCCCATCTACTTCCCCTATCTTCATGCAGTCCCTGCAAATGCAAAAGCAAGTTATTAATCTTCACAGCAAAACGGAGAGGAATATTATGATTTTGCACAGTCACTTATGGGAACCTGTGTGTCATTTCTAAAAATACAAAATGCTTACTATTAAAAGGAAGACATTTATGGTAAAATTACATATTCCAGCTATTAGTAAGCCTGTAATTGGAAACAGAACATTCTGATAATCCTGAGGTACTATATTTCAAAGATAAACAGTGCAATTTCACCATCAGGAAATGTTTCCTAAAAATAGCAAGAACACAGAATCACCTGCTTCCACTAAAACATGGCCCACCTTTTCCATAAATAGAAGAATGCATATGTATTCAATCACTGTTAAATCTGTGGGACTGCTAAAATAAAGCAGCACTTTTGCCTACAAAAACATGAAGTGAGTACAACTGGAAATGTGTTTAAAGATGAAAATTAAAACATTGCATTTCATTCAATTGATGCTGTATATAAACAAACACATTTGTCATTACATTTGTTGTACAGTTTTTTTTAAACTAAATATCCATCAAGTTTTAAGCATGGTCTCTTGCAGTCTATATACAGTCTATACTTTTATCTTGTATTGTAATTAATGCCATCATAGCTAGCAAATATTCTGACGTTTAAGACAAGTAATGAACCCATGTGTCGAGCACCTTTCCAGATCCCCCCCCAAAAAAAAAAAATCTTGTACTCGACACAAATGAAATGGCAGGTACCTGCAGAGAACTATGATCTTTCTGAAAAATGGCAAGCTATTATATGGCTTTTGAATTAAAGTGGTATTAAAGCAAAAAATGGTTGCAATAGTTATCTTTTTTTAGGGTTTTTTTTTCCCCGTTTTCACCTGGTGATCTAGCCAATACCACACCTCCTGTATTGGAATGCCTACACTCTGGATGAATGAGCACAGGGGGCATGTTTGGACAGCAGCATTATCAGTCTGGGGGGGGGAATGTGTTAGCTGTATCATACAATTTAGATACACTAACTGAATTGAAGCCAAACTCTAGCTCACACTGCAATTACAAAAGTAGATACAGCAATGTTTTTTTTTTTTTATAAAGGGTTTACATAAATAAAAGCTGATAATTTTAAGCACCCTGTCAGTGCTAAATAGTTTGTCTCAATCCTCTAAACTGATACGTTTGCAGGAGAGCTTGTTCTTTTGAAAAATAACTAACTTACTGACTGGATCATGAAAAGAAAAAGAAAAAGTCTAAAAAAAAAAACCCAAAAAACAAATGCAGCCAACCCAGCTAAGAATTGGTAAGCTGTAATATTACAAAATGTTTGCTTTTGAGTTAAGTCTGACCAGATTTACATCTTAGAAGCCTACAGAACCAGCAATCTGGCACTTTAAATCCCACCGATTAAAAGACCACATCCCTATGATACTGCTTTTTTATTCTAAACCTCTTCACACAGCATAAAGACAAAAACTTTTGAATGCAACAATTTGTCTGATGAAACAGACAATTCCCCCAGACCAATTTTTTATATTTCACAATTTGCCATTAATTTAAATAAAACTAAATAATATATATTATTTTTTTCAGAAGAAACAAGAGACTTTTTTGGCCATATTGTTTTGCATAAATTGTTTTATTTCCTTGCAATCTATAAACAAAAAAAAATTTATAAAGTTTTCTTTTTATAATTTGACCAGTGTTCATTTTAAAACTAGTGATTCTGTCAATAAAAAATGGAAATTATAATTTACGTATAATCTGTCTAATTTATAGATGACCCCAATACTATGTTTCTTGTACAAAACATGGCAAAATTATTTATAAGGACCTTAAAGGAAATAAGGTGTTTTAACCACATCCATATTGGGCACTTTTACCTCCTTCCTGCCCAGAGCTTTCTTTTGGTGGTATTTAATCGCCACTGGGTTTTTTATTTTTTACTAAATAAAAAAAAAAAAAACCTGAAACTTTTGAAAACAAAAAACAAAAAAAAAAAACCACGCACTTTTCTTCATTGTTATAAAATTTTGCAAATAAATAACATTGCTTCATAAATTTAGGTCAAAATGTATTTGCTAAATTGGATGAAAATAATAATAATTTAATTTGTGGGGTTTTTTTGTTTAATTTATATTACATTATTTTCTCTTTTTTTTACAATTTTTTTTTCCAACACACTGTGATCAAAGCAATACAACATTACCATAGTAACATTGAACTACTCTGGGCAAGTGATCAGGATTTTTTTTTTTCTAACACATTATGATTGCTAATATCAATGTATTTCATTGATATTTGCAATCATTGTTACTGAATGAAATGGATTCATTCAGTCTTTTGTTGTGATTAGGCAAAGCTGATCACATGATACAGATGGGCTGTGAATGGCCCTGTCTGTATCATGTGACTGCTTTGACCAGTCACAGCTAACAACATAACTGTATAGAATGGATGGCATGGCAGGAAGCCATTCATTGTATACAATTGACATGTGATCTGCTGTGATTGGTCACAGCAGTCACATGACACTGGCAACAGGCCGGTGCAGTGATATGTCATCGGCTGTGTCCCGTGGACACAGCCAGTAACAGATCAATCAGCTGCGCGGCCCCAAGGCCACATGAGTGGCTCGTTTTGACAGGACATCATATGATGCTCGGTCACAATGGCGAGAGTCCCGCCCGGCCGGCAATCTGCAATAGGCTGGGCGGGAAGGTGTTAAACAATTAAAAAACAAATAATCCATTGTTACAAAAAAAGAAATCAAAACCAGTGAAAATTAAAAGAAAAGTTTAGTTTAAAAAAAAAAAATCAGGAAACAAAATAAATAGCCAAGGGGTAAAGGGGAAGATATTAGTTTAAACAAATACGTTTTTTTTGTCCCCTAAAAACCTTCCAGAGATTCCTTAATTGCCAATATATTCAGATAAAAAAAAAAATTATAGGTTAAGTTCACCTTTAATAATATGTTAAATGTTATACCCGTATTTAACCATTAGTCACCCGGTCAATAGCCGTTTGGTGGCCGGAAAAATGCTTTAGATTTCTAGGTGGACGCCATATGGCGTACTGCCTGGCATGCACAGTTTGCGTGCTTGCAGAGCTGCGCAGCAGCGCGATCTGTCACCGGCCGTGTACCTCCTACACGGCCGATGACAGATCTGAGTACCGGGCCCCGTTGCCGGTCCCATGTGACCTGCTGTGACCAATCACAGCAGGTCACATGACAGTTGTATACAATGGATGGCTTCATTCATGCCATCCATTGTATACTAGTGTCTAGCTGTGAATGGTCACAGCAGGTCACATGCACATGTCATGTGATTAGCTGTGGCCAAATCACAGTTATGCACAAAAAAAAAAAAACCAAAACCCTGAATGAATCGATGTCATTCAGGTAAATGCTTGCTTATAGCAAAGTAATTCTTTGCTAAAAGAAAATTGTGTAAAAAAAACAAAAACAAATACTGATCACTTCCCCAAGTTGTACAATGTTACTATGGTAACATTGTACTACTTTGGTCATAGTGAAATATGAAAAAAAATCTTTAAAAAAAAAGTAATAAAAAATTAAAATATAATAAATATATATATATATATATATTTTTTTTTCATACTGTCACCAGTCAGTGTCCCTGATCACCGCCATGCCAGTTATATGATGATGCTGTACTGCACTGGTGACAGTATGTAAAAACAAAATGGTGAAAATAATTTTTTTCATTTTCCGAAAAATTATGACAAAAAAAATACAACTTCAAAAAACTCGCCATTCCTCTTATGAAGTACGTCAGACTGTCTACTTTGCAAAAAGGGGTCATTTGGAGGATATCTGTACTGTTCTGACATTCTTGGATCTCAAGAAATTAGATTGGCCGTCAGTACTTCAGGATTGATCAATATTCAGATATATACCATAGTTTGTGAACTCTATAACTTTCCTACAAACTAAAAACTAAAAAATACATCCTAATTTGGGTTATTTTCACCAAAGACATGTAGCAGAATACATCTCGGCCTAAATTTATGAAGAAAAATTATTTATTTGCAAACTTTTAGAACAGAAACAAAGAAAAACGTGTTTTTTTTTCAAAATCTTCAATTTATTGTTAATTTAGCAAAAAATAAAAACCCCGGCGGTGATTAAATACCACCAAAAGAAAGCTCTAATTGTGTGAAAAAAATGCTAAAATTTTAGTTTGGGTACAATGTTGTATGACCGCGCAATTGTCATTCAAAGTGTGAGAGCGCTGAAACCTGAAAAATGGCCTGGGCAGGAAGGGGGTAAAAGTACCCGGTATGGAAGTTGTTAAGGTGTAAGGGTTAACATGTTACTATTATGTACTCCCCATTTACCCAGTGTGTTCCAGGAACACACAGTAGGCTTGAATGTCATTTCAGGTGTTTCTCCTAAACACTTATAGGTATGACAACACCCTGCTTAATGAAATCTAGTCCTGATTACATTCCTACAACCTCAGGATCTAAGTATTCAATGTGCTCCTCAGTTACCAACACCTGTTGTATTTCCTACACCAAGACATTTCTCCAAATTAAATGGCTGTATTTCCAAACACATCACAGAATGTACATCCCTTTCACAGCATTAATGGTATTTTCTTGTGAGGTTATCAATCACTCACCTGTAGTCCAGCAGTCTCTCCATAAGTCGTGTTACAGTGGCAATTAACGATACACCACTTTCTCTCCATGTTTCCCGTTCAATTTTTTTCAGTAAGCTGAAATATAAACATTGAGTTAGCACACGGAGAAGCACATGTGTACAGTACACCTTGAGCAGGTTTATCTTTTTATTTTTATACTGTTTTATTGTTCAGATGAGCAACCATAGGGGATCTCCTGAATCAAAGTGTAACACAGGTACTACTGGATTTGCTCTGCAGTCACTAGTGATTTTCAAATAAGCGCTGTCAAAAATGAAAACAGACCTAAATTTTATTGTGTCTGATTAGTTTAATACCTTATGATACATATATGTTATCCGCCATATTCCTCAGATACAGCTCTTTCTGTTTGTGAGAATACATAAAGTATATGTGCACTATAGTCTGTAGATACAGAGGAGTACAAAATGCAGAGGTGCCCATATACTGGAAGATGATTAGAGCATATTAGGTCTAAATAGGGCAGTATTTTTCACAAAACATGGGTTAGAAAGATTCACATTGCAGATCAGAATCTTACTTCAGCCTTTTGGCAAAGCAGCTGTAAAATGAACAAATGTACAAAAGGTTCAACAGACGAATGTGGCAACCATCTGCAAATCTCTAACGAAGCTTGCTGTATTCTGTGGAATATAATTATCTCCTATGATCGTAATCGAAATCTAGTGGCCATAATGTGTTTAGGTATAGAAATAAATAGATATATAATGCATTATGGCCATTAGATGGTGATTATGATCTTAGAAGATAATTATATTATAAAATATACAGCAAGTTTCCATGGAGCTGTGCAGAGGTTTGTCACATTTGTTCAGTGAATGTTTTATACATCGACCCCTTGTATGTGTACGTTTCTATTGTAAGAATCTATGTGTGTGTTAAGGCAAACGCATAGAAGGTAACCTATTATATTGAAACTCGAGGTTAGGGCAAGTAATAAATCCACTGAACTCTCAATATAGAAGATGCTTGATTCACAAAGCCAATACTCCAAGATAAGTAACCATGATTAACAGTCAATTTAAGTTGAGTGTAAAAAAAAAACCTAGAAAATTAGTCACACAGCCAAAAATAGAGTGACTTAGGCTGGTGTTAAAGCGTTGTGAAATGAGCCTATTATGGACTCACTAGAAAGAGCTGCAGGCATTTACTTTGCTGTAAAAGTATCTTACCTAGGATAAGGCCCAAACAGAGGAATTCTAATCCAGGAAGCAGTGATAAAAAAATGTTCTGATTATACACACAATGAATAAATACATAAAGCAAGTATGAAATTATTGATTTGAAATAAGTAGTAAAGGCAATTTTTTATAATTTGGAGCAGGAAAGGGAGTTCAATTTCTGTTCGGTTCAAAATGCTATGAGAATGCTGAGAAGATGAGAAGACTGTAAATGCTGTCGACCCAGAGAAGAGAATAATCTTTTTTTCTGTTCTGCCTGAAACCTGTCACCTCAACATAAAGGGATTGGAAATTTCCCTCATGAAGACATCATTTCTAAACCTTCCGCACTGTTGTAGTTTTTTTGTTATTTATTTGTCCACATAAGGGGAACTTTCCCTCAATTCTGACTTTTCTATACATCTGTCAAGAGAGCAGTGCAGAGATTTTCCCTCACTTCCTGTTCTTCCTGCACAGAAAGGTGAAAAGAAATCTCCAAACTGAGGCCACAGGCAACAATAAAAAGCTGACCAAAATCTAAAGCCAGCCATACATAGATCAAAATTCACCAGGTTCAACAGGGACTGGCTTAATTTGGATCCATGTATGGATAGGGTGGTGGCACAGAAGATGATCTACTGATTGACTTCTGTACAGCTGCCCTGTCGGAATTTCGCTGTTCAATCGGTGCCACTGGCTATAGCCAGCAGCACTGATCAGTGTATTCTGACAGCGTGGAGGTACCCTCACTGTCAAAATACAATCATTCAGAGAGGATTCTCTCATTCACATGAATATGGAAAAGGAGTAATTTTTTTCATTCGACCCACTGCTAGTTTTTTATGGTAATAACTGGCTTGCAAAGGCATTAGGAGCACACAAAGTGGGTTTACATACTTTGCAGATGTTAAAGTGTTACTAAACCCACAACAGTAAAATCAGTCTGTATATGCAGTAAAGCATGCTTGTTATACTCACTGTGGAACCTAAGGGGTTAATCCTATTAATTGTGTTAAAAGGCTGTTTGATCTTGACTTCTCTGATCCTCTCCTGATTCCAGTATCCCCCTCTTATCTCCTGATAAGACATTTCATGTGGAGTCACTCTGCACATACTGAGTTTGGTGTGTATTGCTAGAGAGGTTGTTTTTTTTTTTTTCTTGGGAGAGTGCATGTGATCAGCACAGGGACAATCAGCACTGTCCAGACAGAGGTAAGGGTTTCTGCATCTTCCTAAAGCAGAAAGAAAACTCCTCCTACAAACTTAAATATGTGCTCCCTCCTACAAGCTTTAACCAGTGCTCTGCTGGACACTGACAGAAGTCACAAGACTGCTCTAACTGCTGATGAGAAAAAGTATTTAGCAGTTTATATTTACTAACATAATTGCACTTCCAAGTTCTGTGTACTGTGGGAGACCAGATATAGTGAATGCAGGGTCCTGGGTTTAGTAACACTTTAAGGGATACATTTAAATGAATGTTTTTGTGCACCAAGTTCACCTTTAAAGGAGCATAAATTGCGGCAAGTGTTGGGATTCACTACTACAATCTAAAGTCAGTGATCAGCTGTGGCAGGAGCTTGGGCTATCCCTAGTCACACGGTAGCATGAGTGCAGAATTGCCCATTTCAAAAAGGCCTTAAAATATGTGAACAAAAAAAATGTTATATTCCTTTTACAAACGTTGTGCCAGAAAATTCACATGCCAAGTTCTGAGCAGTGTCATTGCCTTAAAGTGATAATACATTTGAATTTTTTTTTAAAATAACATAAATATATTTATCTGCCCTGTGCAACAGTTTTGCACAGAGCAGCTCTGATTCTCATCTTCTCAGGTCCCCCGATGGCACTCTTGGCTCCTCTTCTTCTCCGTGTGCTACCATAGGAAGCCACTTCCTATGGTGGCACACATGCGGGCTCAAATCCAAGCAGCGCTGTGTACGTCCATAGACATTGGATTTGATTGACAGCAGCAGAAGCCAATGGTTCCTGCTGCTCCTCAGCCCAGTGAGGAGGAAGTGAGAGCAGCACCGAATCATAATTGGGCTCAGATAAGTATCGGGGGGGGGGGTGGGGGGGGGGCTGAGGGGAGCTGACAATAGAAGGTTTTCAACCTTAATGCAGAGAATGCATTAAGGTGAAAAAAAAATACTTCAGTCTTTACAACCACTTAAATTAATGGTTGTATAGATAAGATTAAAAAAAATTGCCTTTATGCTTTCAGAAAAGTGAGATCAATTAAGCAATATTATGTATGAATCTGAGAGCGTTGCACATGCTGCAGAAAAATTCAAACATTGAACATTACAGTATATTATTTTTAAAGAACTGGAGGAGGCACAGTTAACACGACCTAGCTTATAGGACTTAAAAAAAAAAAAAAAAAAAAAAAAAAAAAAAAAAGATCCATCCCAGCCCAATTTATACAAATGATTAGGGGTTTACTAAAAAGTTCACAACGGGTCACAAAATAATCATCATTTCACTAGCAAGCCTGAACACTTCCACTTAGCAGGTGTGTAAATAAAATGGATTAAAGATAGAAGTCGACCTCAATACCCATTTATCTTAGTAGATCTAAGCCAAATCACTAAAATCTCATATCTGCGTTACTGCCAAGCTAAATGTCGATTCAAACGTTTTTTCAACTTTTGGAAAAAGCAACTTTCATTCAAATAATACCTGGTAACCAGATAAAGACCCACCTGAAAAAAAAAGTCAAAAAACATTTCTGTACTACAGGCATATATTAGTGTTTTTGCCAAAGTCCTCTCTCTCAGACTTAACCAAGTTATCCAGACCCTTATACAACCAGATCATACAGACTTCACATCTGACAATATACATCCCTGAATATGCACTGCCTATATATGAACCTATATGAAGTTACCCTTGATCAGATTGGCATTAATCTGGCTATAAACTGACTGAAATTCAGAGGTTCAGCAGGGACCAGTTATAATTTTGATAAGTGAGTGGCTATCCTCGTTTGACCGATGTCGATAGTTTGATTAAAATTTTCTATTAAATTTACAATACAAAAAGTAGGTCATCAAGGTAATCCAACTAAATTCCTAAAGGTCTAGGGGTACTTAGCAATCAATCATCTACTTGTTGTCCCCTTAATGAAGATGACACTCTCCTTTAGGCTGTAGACCCCATAGAATAATAGGCATTTATTGCAAATATAGTGGCACAACATTATTTATGTAACACGTTAGGGCTCATGGTAGGCCCTACCAATTACTGCAGACACGTCTTGTTATGGGGTGACAACTGAGCTACAACTGTGGTTTTCATCCTGTCATACATGCTCTTAATAGCGGCTACAAGTAGAAATGACATCACACAGTACAGGTATGGTCCACCATTATCATCAAGGGGCCTGCTCTGTACAAAGATGTGTTGCTGATTCTAGAGTGAGTGCATATAGACAGGAAGTGGCTAAAAAAAAATTGGAGGAAAGTATCAATGTTGAGGTGAAAACAGGTAAAAACAGTATTTAATTAAAAAAAAAAAAAAAAAAAACATGAAAGCTGTTTTTCAAAACACAATGATTTAGATGTATTTATCTATATTCCATCCAGTTTGGGTTTAGATATAAATTTAAGGAGCAATGGCATTTAGGAAAATGATTCCAACCTGGCTCCCCAAATTGTTACCAACAAAGATTGCTTTCGGATGTCTCCTGCTACTCTCACCTTATGTCTCTCACTATTTTTACCTCTTCAGGTTTACATACATAATACAAATCATAAAAATAATTTACACTACTGTCTATGAGAAAATACAGGTTAAAAAGATCATGTTGCCTTAAATCCAGATGCACCCCAAAAAAGTGGTTCAATAAAGCAAGAGTAATTACAGAAGTTTTAAGATTTTCTGTAATACAGC